GGGGGGGACGGACCTCTAGGAACTGTTTAGAGTATGTAGGCAAATTCTAGGAACAATTACTATTTCATGTGGGTTTCCCTGAAAGGAAGACATGCTGTGTTCCTATTGTGGTTAAAATTAAAGAATGTTTAACCGCTGGTCTACCAAGATTAAGGACATGAATTGATTTCTCCTGCTGCCTCTTTGGGATTTCTGCATTAGATTAGCCTTCCACAAGTTAGGTGGCATTGAACTGAGATATATGAAATTTAGCAGCATGTCACTAATCAGAATTGTTAACATATGGATTCTTCCCCCACCACCACCACTGTTCTTACCCTAAACTGTGCCATTTATACTTTGGAAGATGGGAAGAGTACAAACATTAAACACAACAGCAAAGTGGTTTATATAAACTATATGTATTCAACAACAAGTTCTCAAATATTACTTTTTTTTTCCCTTGAAGACTCGGGATCAGAAGGTGACTGGGGATCTGGAAGCTGCTCATCGCTATAGTTCCAAAGCCAAATGCTACAACATCCTCGCCACAATGTGGAGTGTGGTACTGCCATTGGTGCTGATTGCTTTGGTGATTACGGGGGTCCTTCACCTTTCCAAGCTGGCTCAGGAGTCCATGGACTATTTGGCTTACAGACTCTTCCCAGAGGATGTTGAGGACAAAAAGTGAAGGGGGAATAAGAGTTGGATAAAACTCAAGCACTGCACAATGCAAAACCTCTACTTGCTTCTGATCTGGATCTTCTGCTTCACTACAGTAAAGCATTAAACAAACCCAGGACTCCTTTCTCAGAAAGTCCTGCAGATGTTCATCCTTGGTGTCCTTCATAAACTCTGAATTGTTCTGTCTCTGCCTTGTCTCACACTTCTCTTTTTTGAGGCTCTTTCCTCCCTAGCTTTCTGTATATTCTGCTGAATCTGCACACATAAGCAGACATGCAGAACTCAAAGGAAGCAGGTAGAAAAGCTAGCATAATTAAAAAATATATATTATAATGCTTCTGGAAACTGATTTTTATTTATAAAGATAGTCTTGTTTCTTTCAAATTATTTGTTAATGTGTTTCTAGCTTTAGGATTACTATCAAGATATGATATATTAGCTAAAACAGGTTTTTAAGCTCATCTATTTTTTTGTACCATTTATGTATTATTTATGGTAAGATCCAAGGACAAGCAATCTTTAAATGAATAATTAATGGAATTTGATCAACCTGGAATATGCAGAAAACCAATGGGAGGGTTTATTTTGTTCTTGTTTTTTTTAAACAAAGGTGTAATTTAAGCTCAATAATATAATAAAATTTATCAACCAGGAATAAATCCCCATTGAACTTGGTGGTATTTTCTTCTTAATAGTGTTTTAAAAAGTCACACAATTAATCTATAAGCCAGAAAACTTCCCCAATTTATTACAATATTTGCTAAGTGAGGCTGAGACAAGTCAGAAATATCTGAAAGGCATTATTAGCCTAGTTGGTTGCCAGAATAAGAACATATGCCAGCTGGGCTTTTTTAGTTAATATAGACTAGAAGGTCAAGCACCATTTAATAGATCTAATGGTTTAGTATTGGTGGTGGTATTGGTATTGGTGGTAATCTAAGTAATCTTAGATGTTAGATTACTTAGGAGCAAGCCCTCAAATCTTCCTTAGAACTCTATTTGGTTCCTTATCTGTTGTTGATGTCAATATCTCTTTATATAAATAGTCCTTGATTTACAACCATTCGTTTATTATGGCACTGAAAAAAGTGACCATTTTTCACATTTATGACCATTGTCATGTGATCAAAATTTGGACACTTGGCAACCAGTTCATATTTATAATGG